GTATATCATGTGATCTAAGTGTTCCTTATGTAACAATGGTGATAATTGTATATCCTGTAACTCCACTAACTATTTATATGCCTCAGACTGTTATCCACAGAGTCAAATAAGAGGGTGTGCGGTGCAACCGACCACTTTAGGCTGTTCACAATGTTCTGATGGCTATTTTTCATATCAAAATTCGTGTGCAAAGTGTAATGAAAATTGTAGTACTTGTTACTCCTTAAAAGAGTGTCTTACATGTTCTGAAGATCGCGTCTTAATATCAGGAAATTGTTATTCAAAAGAAGATATTCAACATTGTTCTTCTGTAATTAATTCTAAATGCAATAAATGCTCTTTCTGGCACTCTCCAAACAAGAACGGGGAAGTCTGTGACTCACAACCCGAAGCCTGGTTTATAGTAATTTTAATAGTAATTATACTATTAATTATACTATTACTAGTACTTGCCATTTACGTGTTATCGCGGATGTACTTGATATATGACAAGCGCAAACGATTATCTAAGAAGATGTGTCTGTTCAAGATCAGTCACTCTAATGTGGAGTTTTTGTCCGTCTTCAATGAAATCATGACGAACAAGAAAGAGGTGATATTTGAGGAATTGAGTGATGAAGACGGGAAAATAGGGGTTAAGAGTGAGTCGAAGGAATTGCTGTGTATTGGCTCGTGTTGTGAGAGCACATTAAAAGTCCAAATTTCGATCAAAGACAACACGAAATATCAATTAAGGACGATCCCAGAGGTCGCAACATTAGTAAAAGGATACGCCTGCGAATTTGAAATCTTTTTAACACCACTGTGCTCGTGTTATATAGAAGACGATGTTCTTCTTGTCGTCAAAAATATGGAACTTGGGACGGAGAATAATGTTCATATGAAAATTAAAGCGGAGACGTTGTTGACGACTATTTTAGACTATGAGGAATTACAAGAAGAAAAGAAACTTGGTGCTGGGAGTTTTGGAATCGTTTATTTGGGGACTTTTAGAGGGCAAAAAGTTGCTATTAAAAAGATGAAAGAAAAGGAAGACTCAAATAACGCAATGGAGGAATTTACTAAAGAAGTTGACATGTTAGATAAATTTAGAAGTGAATATATAGTCCACTTCTATGGAGCTGTATTTATCCCAAGTAAGATCTGTATGGTCACTGAATTTGCTCAATTTGGGTCTATTGAAGATTTAATGAAACACAAAACGAGTGAGGAAATGAGTGAGAAATTAAGAATTAAATTAATGATAGACTCAGCTAAAGGACTTTCATATTTACACACTAATGGAATATTACATAGAGATATTAAACCAGATAACACTTTGGTATTTTCTTTGGATTTGAATGAAAAGGTGAACGCTAAATTGACTGATTTTGGAGCATCAAGAAATATTAATATGATGATGACTAACATGACTTTCACTAAAGGAATTGGTACACCTAAATATATGGCACCTGAAACACTCGAAAAAAGAAATTATAAAATGCCGGCTGATATCTACTCATTCGGTATGACTATGTATGAGGTGTTCGGTTGGAAAAGTTCATATCCTAAAGATGAATTTAAATACCCGTGGGATGTCGTGACTTTCGTGACAAAAGGTTGGAGACTTAAATTAAACGGTTTGAACGAAAAATTCGCAGATGTCATTAACGCGTGTTGGCAACAAAATCCTCATGATAGAATACGTTTGTGGTTTATTTATATTATATTATATTATATTATATTATATTATATTATATTATATTATATTATATTATATTATATTATATTATATTATATTATATTATATTATATTATATTATATTATATTATATTATATTATATTATATTATATTATATTATATTATATTATATTATATTATATTATATTATATTATATATTTAAATTATAATATATATGATGTATTATTATTATATTAAAATATGTTAAAATATGTTATATATACATGAATTTTACATTTTATATTATCAATGTTGACTTATAGTAATTGACCAAGTTGTGGCTATGCTAGAAGCTATTTATATGAATTGAAATTACATTTTTAATTGTTTATTTTTTACATAATAAAAAATCCATCAAATGTTTTTTTGTTTTTTATATTGAAAAGTTACAATAAGATATCGATTATTTCCAATTTTTTTATTTTAAAAACCTTGATACTTTCCAAATTGAAGATTTTGAATTTTTTAGTAAATTGTTATATTAGTTAATAATTTAAATTAACTAACTTTAGATTACTTCGCATTTTCCAAAAAACTTCAAACAACCAATCAGATCTTTGAAATTGTCAAGGTTTGGAAATAATCGAGGTCTTACTGTACTCAATCAATTATTTGTTGTCACATGAAACATATTTAAAAAACATTCGTTAATATAAATTTTATAATCCATTTTATTTTTTTTCAATTATATTTATTTTACTTTATAACATTGTTTACACAAAATCAAAACTATTTTTTGTTTATTTTATACATAAACATATTTTATTTAAATTTAAGTTATTACACTGTAAAACTATTTTTTAACTTGATTATATAATTAATTTTGTTTCAAATATAAAACAAATCATTAATAATACCTATTTCAAAAATCAATTCATATTAAAAAAGACGAATCTATTGACCCAAAATTTTGATGCTAATATGGGACAATTTGATATTTTTTCTTTAAAAAACAACGATTTTCTATAAGAATTACTTTTTTAATCCAAAAGATATCACCAAATTTGAATAATGGTTCATCTTTATCATCTATGTCACAATAAAAAGCATTTTTCATGGCATTTCTTGATAATTCATATTGTTCTATAGTCGCTTCACCATTTCCAATAAAAACAAACGAATTTGGCGAATTTACTGTGGTATTATAACGACATACACTATTATATAAAACGCCACCAAATATCCGATATTTATCATCCACAACAACTGCCATTTTCCCATTTCTTTGTATAACATTGAATTCTCGCGTATTAACTGACCAATCACTAACTGAAGAATCGAAAATAACATCTCCCACAGTTAATCCACTCATCTTTTCAAGTTGATCAATTTGATATAAAGAAAGAGGTATGTTTTTATATTTTCTTACATCTCTCCATTTCTCTAACATATTGAGTTTTTGATCTTCAATTATCGAGGAACTTCTTTGTGTCAATTCGGTTATGACAGAATTGTATTGTTTTTTTGGTTTGTTCATGTAAAATTGTCAATGAACAAATCTCTGTTGTTATAGTAGAAAAAAGTTCTTTTAATTTAAATAAATCCTTTTCTCTGTTATCTTCTCTTATTAAATTCTCTTCAATTTTATCATAATAAGTTTCAAGACTTTGTACATCTAATCTTTTATAATTTGTATTACTTGGAATGTCATAATGATTTTTATTAACTTCCTCATACGAAGAAATTGATTTCTGGCAACAAATAATTAGGTCTTTAAAAATGGGTATCATTTAGTATTACATCTGTAGTTTTTTATACATTTTTAAAATTATAAACAAATGAGGTAATATTTTGCATTACTTAATATAAATAAAGACGGTTACACTTTTGATAACATTAAACTAAAAATTTGAGTTGTCTAAAAATCGAGAAATCTCGAGTTTATTAGATAAATTTACTGTTTTTAAAAGTTTAAATTATGTTCATAACTTTACATAATTCAAAAAGTGATATTTATCAGAAACTGAAATAATATCCTTGTAAAAACAGGTCAGTTATAAATAAGGGCGTTATTTTAAGTGTTAAGCATCAAAATATGGAATATTTATTATAAAAAAAAATTACATCTCAAATAAAAATAAATTATCTATTTTTTTGTATTACATATAGTAATTTTAAAATAATTAAATTAAGTTTCAATTATAATTAATTTATAATTTAATTTAATTAGAATCACTAATAAAGAAAAATTAGTAATTTTATCATAATAAAAACTAGATGTCAAGTAATTCAAAAAATAAAATAAAACATAAAAAAATGAGTGATTGAGATTATAGATGTGGAAAGATATAACATTTAAGAACAGAAAATTTGAGGAAGTTTTGACAACAAAAGATGGAAACGAATAAGCTGACATATTCATCACTTTCTTTGGACTTTGCAGACCTCTACACATATGTCACAAACCTCAAAGAACAAGTTGATACACTCAACTCAGTTTGTTATTTCCAAATCATTCATTTGAAATTGAGTTAAGTTCAATTCGAAGCTTGAAAATGATATTTGAATGTCTCTAATCAATGAAAAGGTGTTGACAAAAAGTGACAAATAGCAGAACAAGGCACTTTCATTTCGGTTGAATGAACAAACACAGCACCCACCAGCACAAATCACTCCCGTTGTCGTAGATTACAACCAACTGGCAACAACTTATCAAGAGAATATCGCTGTAATAGTGAAAGAGCGCGACGAATTGAAGAAACAGAATGAAAAAATGCGGGCAGAACTCTTCGAGTCGATAAATCAAAGCAACTTGTTTAAAGACAACTTTGGGAAGCAACTCAACGCGTTGCAGAAGAAGGCGCAGCAACTCGAATTGCTTGTGAGGTGTGTGTTCAAAATACCAGAGGCTTTTGTGTCGGAATTGGACTTTTTAAAGAACAACAACAAGACCATTGAAACGGTTTTGAAACAAGAGGAAGTCATTCAGAAAATCACTGAAATGCTGAAAAAGATTGAGGAACTGAAAGACGAGAATTCAGTGCTGAGAGGAAAGGTGAAGACTCTCATTAACGAGAACAACAAATTTTCGGAAGCACTTGAGAGCGAAAAACGGACACTTGACGCGACGAAATCGGAATTTGTGAAGAAGGAGGAAGTCTTTAAAATGCAAATCGACGAGCTCAAAGGAAGTGCTGAAACAGAAGAAACAACAAAAGACGTTCTAAAAAGGTGTGAAGCGATTAACGACTGCATGAACGTTCTTATCAACTCGTGGAAGAAAGCTGGAGAAAGTGCGTTTGTCGAGAAAATGGAGTGCGAAGAGGAAAATAAAAATAATGAACAAAACGAAACCAGTGAAGTGAAAACAGTTCAAAACACAAAGAAACCCGAAGTTGTGTCACACTCTATGGAAGTCGAAAAGCCAAAAGAAGAAGAAGAAGTCTTAGATGAAAGGTTTCTTGAGTCATCACCAAAGAGCGTTGTACGGCCTGCAGACAACGTCACAAATATTGTTGAAACAAACAAAAAGGATGAAAACCGTGAAAACAAAATGGACGAAGAGCCGCCAAAACGAGAAATGGAAGTCGTCAGCGTCGAAGATTCAAACTCCGAGCCACAAAAGAAGAGTGGAAGCGAAGAGGATGTTGATCTTCTTTAAAATGTATATACACTTGTGAATATGCTATTGTTGAATATATAATTGAGGTTTTTAATACACTTGTAAACTTGCAACAAACCGACAGAATTTCGTATGAAAAATTATTGTGTAAAACGTGAAATTTTCGTATCACATAGGAACGTGTATTTTATTATTAATTTGTAAAAAAATTAAATATTAATAGTTTTATTAATTATTCAACAATTGTCGAAAAAACAACAACAAAGAAGTATTAATACTTTTTGTTGTTTATTTCATATCATTTTTAATTTAAAAATGATGTTATTTGATCACAATTCAAAAAAACTTTCAGTTTCCATAATTTGAGAATTTATATTTATAAAATAAAGTTTTATTAATTGTTTATAGTATAATAATAATATTATTATTATTATTTAATAATAAAAATACATTTATAATTAAATAAACAGTTAGCTATATTTCTAAATTCCAATCGAATCGTCACATTTATAAATGAAATGGTGACATATCCATTATCGATAACAATATAATTATTAATAAAACGTTGTATAACAAAGAATTTTAAATATTTGTTTTATTGACTTCAAATACATAAACATATGTTTAAGTATATAGAATAATATTATTCTAAGGAGTTCACAATCGTAAATACGAAATTTAATAGATAAACGGAAGTATTCTATTTTATAATGTCAATAAAACAAGATGAAAAACACTCAAAAAGACTACAGTTAAAAAAATATTATAAAAAGGTACAATTTTAACTGTTAAATATAATGACAGAATTGTTCCTTGTTTTCATAATTGTATTAACACATTCACGTGGTATAAAAACAACAACAGACCCAGAAGTTTGTAATTGTGAACCCATAGGTAATAATTCCATTGTAGGATATGTCCAAGTAGATGGAAAAAGTCTTTGTACTAAATCATCAAATTTAAGTTATGTTTTATGTGTCTCAAATGCTTATTATTTTAAAAACGAACGATATATATATTCCTTACATCTAAATGGACAGTTTCTAATATATTATGAAACAACATTAATTTGGATTCAAATCACTCATTTGTATATTCACACCAATTCGGTAATAAATTGTGATGTTGGAATACATTCATGTGAGTTATTTGTCATTGAAGAAAATGCCATTATAAATCTTAACAGGTATTTTTCTATAGCTGGCAGTCTTCTATTGACTAACCCTGTTATAAACAAACCTCAACTACTCTTGTGGAATTGTTTATATTTACATTTAAATTATAACTTCCCAAATCGTATAAATTTTGAAATTGTTAATCCAAATGGAAATACATATTGTTTTGATGTTATTTCTATGAGTAAATCAAGCGTCATAGATATACATAACAACACTGACCACATTACGACGAGTATGTTTCCTTTTCAATTTAGTACGGGAACGGGTTATTTATTATCTAATAACAAGTTAATCCGTTTTTGTCCAATTAATACACCTATAAATAAAAAGGTGGTCTGCACTCTAAAATTGTTAAATTATTCAAAACAATTTTATCCTGGTTATTCAAGTGAAGATCCTTTTGAATATCCCCATTGTCCTTGTGATGATATTAATACACTGTGTGAGTTACATTTTGATGAGAAATTGTCAACATATTCAATTGAAAACAACAAATTGTATTATACCAAATTAGTTATTAATAATAACATTACAATAATCAATTTTAATGGTGCTAAAGAAATTGATATAAATGATGATTGTAATTTAAATATTTCGGGAGTTTTTAATGGTACCATTTTTAAATTTACATTTGGAACATTTATTGCTTATCCTAATATGACAAATTCAGTAAATTCAGCGTCTTTAATATACAATTCAATTAAAAATGAATTATCATGTACTAACTTTAATATATACTCTTTAATTATTACTGATACCAAGAATGTAATAATGAATTGCCCAGGATATGTAAATACATTAACACTCAACAATTCAACATTCATCACTTTTACTGAAAATGTGCAAGAAGTTGGGACAATGTTAAGTACTTCTATTTTGAATAGTGGTTTTCTGTATTTTGAAAATGAAAGTACTCTGAATAAAGAAATTCCAAATTGTGTGTTGGCACGTGTTAGTTATAACGACATTGTTTGTTTAAAGTGTAACAAAGACACAAGACTATCCAAAAATGAATGTATAACAACTTCTAATTGTGAAATATTCAATAAAGACAATGTTTGTGTTCAATGCAAAAAGTATTTTAAAATCAATGAAAATCATTTTTGTGTTAGTATTGATGATAATTGTGTGTATGGAACATATAAAGAGTGCTTCCAATGTAAAATGGGATATACATTAAATAACAATTCTTGTGAAACACCAGAAAACTGTTTGTTTGCAAAACATAACAAATGTTTGAAATGCACCAGCGGCAATACTTTTGATAATTGTAAAGCGTGTGACGATCAAAATTGTGAACTTTGTGAAAATTTAAAATGTAAATTTTGCAAAGAAAATTACGTTTTAAATGAAGTTGGAAAGTGTGAAATAAACAATTTTTCGTATTCAAATGGATTAAATATTATTTCATGTGATAAACAATATTATATCCAAAATTCAACTTGCAAAAGGTGTGCGTTAAAATATCAAAATTGTAGTTTGTGTGACATCATAAGGCCAATCAATTGTATAGCGAATTATTATCTATCTAAGAGTGGCGAATGCAAACAAATTATATGTAATAAAAATGAGACGAAAGACCAAAACGGTCAGTGTACTTTAACTCAATCGAATTGCATTTATTCTGTTAATTCGAAATGTGTTGAGTGTAATACAAATTTAATTTTAGATTATAATGGGATTTGTGTTGTCAATAATGGGCCTTCTTCATTGTTGAATTGTCAAGAAATTCACAATTCTTCATGTGTGATGTGTAAAACTGGGTATTATTTATCAAATAATAAAAGTTGTATTCATTGTGATTCAAAATGTGAAAGTTGTGTAACAAATTCAACATTTTGTATATCATGTAAAAATGGATATTATTTGGGAATTGATCACAGTTGCATTACAAATTTGGATTTAATTAACAAATGTGATAAAACCACCACAGTCATTAGTGGATGTTATAAGTGCAAAAATAATTATTATAGAATTGGTCTTGATTGTAATAAATGTTTGTCAAATTGTTCTAAATGTAATAATGAATTCAAGTGCTTAGAATGCAATTCTACAAATTATAAAACATCAAATGGGGGTTGTTTACCACAAAGATATATTGAAGGTTGTCTTGTTAAAGTAACACATAATGGCTGTTCAATGTGTGCGGATGGGTATTATACTGTAAATACAAATGAATGTAAAAGGTGTGATGATAATTGTAATACTTGTGATATAAATGGTAATTCATGCACTTCATGTCATATTAATGAAGTGTTAAATCCATATAAAAAGTGTATTTTGAAATCGGAAATTAATAAATGTATACAAACAGACACTTTTAAATGTGTAAAATGTGTATTTTGGTATATCCCAAGTGCAGATGGGACTTTTTGTATGAAGAAAAATGTTTGGTGGGTAATATTATTAATAATATTTTTATTATTTATTATCTCATTTATAATAATATGTATTGTGGTGTATGAAATTCTTAAAATTCTCCAAAGAATACATCAAAAAGAATTGCACAAAAAGAATACCGTTTTTAATATGAAAAAATCGAATGTCCACTTCTTTTCACTCCAAAATGGCACGATTGTAGTGAATAGAAAAACCATCGAATTTAACTCAGAGAAGTGTGAAATTCCAGTCTTAGTTGAAAGTAAAGAACTTTTATGTATTGGAAATGTTTCAAATAAAACAATAAAAATTCAAATATCATCAAAACTTGGAGAAGATGCTTATTCTTTAAGAACGGAACCTAAAATTATTACATTAAAGAAAAATTTTGCTTGTGAATTTTCAGTGTATTTGACACCATTGTACAGTACTACCATTTCAAGCGATGTGATGATAATCTCAAAAAGTCTTTCGAATAACAAACAAAGTACTTACGATTTTATAATTAACGCAAAAACTGAAATGACTTCGAGACTCGATCCTACCGAAATTTCAATTGACAAGAAAATAGGTGAAGGATCTTTTGGGTTAGTTTATCAAGGTACTTTCAGAAACAATTTAGTTGCAATTAAACAAATGAAAGAAAGTATCAATGAAGCTGAAAAAATGAAAGATTTTGAAAGGGAGGTTTGTATGTTAGACAAATTTCGGAGTGAGTACATTGTCCACTTCTATGGAGCTGTATTCATCCCAAGTAAGATCTGTATGGTCACTGAATTTGCTCAATTCGGTAGTTTAAATGATTTGATTAATAAAATGAAGTGGCACCAAATAACAGAGAAATTAAAAATCAAATTCATGGTAGACGCAGCAAAAGGACTGTCGTATTTGCACACTAATGGAATATTACATAGAGATATTAAACCAGATAACATTTTAATAGTTTCAGTCGAAAGAAACGATCAGGTAAACGCCAAATTGACTGATTTTGGAGCATCAAGAAATTTAAATCAATTGATGACTAACATGACATTCACAAAAGGAGTTGGTACACCTAAATATATGGCTCCTGAAGTTTTAAAAGGAGAGAAATACACAACGAGTGCGGATGTATATTCATTTGCAATAACTATGTATGAATGCTTTGGGTGGGCAGACGCATATTCAAAAGATGCATTCAAATTTCCATGGAAAATAGCCGAGTTTGTGACTGCTGGAAAACGCCTTGAAAGAAGAAAAAATATTATAGAAGAACTTACCCGACTAATAGAGCAGTGTTGGCAACAAACCTCAAATGAGAGGCTTAAGATAAATCAGGTTGTTGATGAACTTCAACTTATTCTTTCGACTCGATGAACAAAGCTTGTTTTTAAAATTTTGTTGTTATATATGAAAATAACACAAATAATATATTTATAAAAATAACAATATTGATTAACACTTAAAATAACACCCTTATTTTTGTTTTGGCCTGTTTTTACAGGGATATTAATCAAATTTCTAATGATTTTCCTTTTTGGCTAATGTATTGTTTATGCACATTATTTAAACTTTAAAAATGAAAATATTTTAATTAACTCGAGATTTCCCGATTTTTAAACCACTTGAATTTTGTTCAATGTTATTTAAAGTGTAAATTGTTTATAAAAAAATATTCAAACAATTAATTAACATTAATATTGTATCACTTTTTGTTTTATAATTAAATGAATATATCAAAATAAGAATAATAATATTCATTATTTAAAATTTTGATTATGATATTTTTTGATGATTAATATAAATCAATAATTCCCAAAATGATTTTTTATGTTTTTTCTTTAATTCCTCTTTGTCATAATTTGGAATATAAAATGGGAATAAAGAAATTGTAATTTAATTAAAATACAGTAAAAAGCATCTATTTGTGAATCAATAAACCAATCAAATACAAACCCACAAATTATTATTTTGCTCTCGAATGTTGAATTTAGGCACACTTAAATAAAAATTATAGTATTTTTATAATTAAAATACTTTAATATCATTAATATCTTTCATTTTTTATGTATAAAATAGTTAAAAAATTTACTACATAATTTCATGATGAACCCACAAATAAAAATTTTTCTCTGTTAAAAACCCACAAATAGATACTTTTTATCGTACTTAATAATTAAAAATATAAGTATTAATAAAGTTGTTAACAATTATTACCACTGTAATTATTGTATATAATTGGAAATTACAACGATCAGATTTAAATGAAGTACTAATTAATTTAGTTATTATGACTGAATCGTACCAACACCAAAATTACATTCTTCAGAATGAAATGGATACACAACCACAAGTTCCCCCATATGAAGAACCACAGTCAAATTTATTACCCCAACACAATGAAGAAAGTGTCATTTCGAATCAAAATCGTACAACAGAAAAAAGTCAACCACAATTAAATAATGAGTATCCAGTTTTTGTTGATTATAACAAAGAGAGAAATGTATTATGTATTAAACAAATATTAGTGTGTCTCGGATTTTGTATACCATGTATAATGTGTGTAGTAGTATGCTTATATATTTCCGAGAGCAATGAAAAAGACAAAACAAAAAAAGTTATTGTTTTAATATTTATTATATTGTGCCAATCAACCATGATAATTGTTGTTATTGCAATCATTATATTTATAATAACGACAAATATTTCAAATAATGAGAATTCTTACTAAACAACTTTGAAATGTGTTTGTTTTTGAAATCAAATTTGCAACAATATAAATTGTTATTTATTTAATTTAATTTCAAAATTAATTTGTGTGTTTTTTTTAATCTTTTTTGTTCAACTTTTTTTGAAAATGTTAAATAACATTTACATTACTGTTAAATATGAACACATAAAAAATCAAATAATATGTTATAAATATATACAATAATTATTTTTTAATTTCCCACAAATTATTTACATACCTTTTTAATATTTTGAATATATCTAACAACATTGTTAACCAAAACACATTTTATAGTAAAAATACCAAGAGTGGTAGGGTATTTTTTAGTTTTTGTTCTCCCAAGAGCCCATCAAACCATAATGACCACTCTATAAAAATCTATTTTTAGTTTTATTTTGAAACACATCAAAAATCATTCAAAAATAAATAACGATAATTAAATTTGTTTCCCGCTTTTCTTGACAAAATTCATGTAATTTTTAATAAAAAGTTGAAAAAATAACAAAAAACAAGTCGGAAAGTCCGAAAAGTAGGACTTTATGTCCAGAGTTTATTATACAAATAGTTTTTTTAATATATCATTAAAATCATTTGATTATTTTAATTAAAACAAACAAACTTAATATTGTAATACGATCAAAAACAAAAAAATTCAATGTAATTATATTAGGTAAAAGTTATGTTGGTAAAACAACGATATTCAATCGATATGTTAATGGCAATTTTTGTGAAAATTTTGATCCAACCAGCGAGGATACATTGAGTAAATGTGTTCAAATCGATAAAACAAACTATGATGTGGATTTTATTGATACATTTTCCAAAAAAATGTTGGTAGTGAAACGATACTTCTAGTTTGTAGTGACATATGTGGTGGTTGTAAGTGTAAAGTAGTTTTCCTTGGTGCTGTTTAACATCATCTTTATTTAACGAGACAAAATTTGTGACATTGATCTTTTTTGATTCACTATATATGAGCTTCTTTATTAAGTTAAAACCATGTTACTGTAGAAATTAAAGACTATTTAAGATATATAAATGTAACAACATTATTTCATCATCACGCGTCTTTATAACTGTTTCAAGGCGCTTTCCATTTTAATCAGCTTTTTTCAGTAATTTGGCGTCATAGCGACTCGACATTCTTCGACAATACTCGCACTCAACTTTGTATTTTCTACATTATGAGAATACCATTTGAATAACAAACATTGTTTGACTATGACAAAACAACAGCAAACGTGTAATGCTTCTCGCATGTCTTTTGATTGAGTTAATGTCACCAACGTCAGTCTCAAATAAGTCGTAGTTTTTCTTAAAGTGTGTTCGACATGAGGAATAAGCGAAGTCAATGACGTCGGAAGAAAAACTGTTGATGTGGTGTTAGGATCTAAAACACCTTTTTAGCAATACTTTCGTCGTAAGACAACATACAGGTTTTTGGTTTATGGTATATATATTAAACAATACATCATTAATAATTTGTTAGGTAAAAAATTAGACAAATCTATATATTTGTTTTCAACATTATTAAAACATCAATTTTTTGAATTTTTAATGTAAAATTTGTATAATTATCATAGAGTTTAAGGTCTTTATTCGTTGTCATAACAAAGAAAATGACGATTAAAATAACTTTGAGTTTTGTTCTTTTTATATCACTTCAAAAATATCAAGATCTTAAACATTAAATAAATAAGTTCAAAATGTTATATTTCAAAAATTAAAAATTTCATGTGTTACCGAAATTAAAATTATACAAAAAATTAAAAAAAACACAATGAAATTAGTTATAAAGAATTAATAATAATAATATTTGTTTTAAACATATATGAAGTATCAACTTTTATTAATTTGTGTTGAATTCATAAAAAAATGTTTACAATGTTTTTGTTTGCAATTTCAAAACAATAGTAAATTCAACAAAAATACAAAAAAATCATTCTGTAAATGATTACGATTCATTTTTGATCTATTAATAACAATTATTGTGTTGTTATTTTTCGTAAACATAATCAATTCCAATCGAAAACATATATTTAAAGAATCATTAAACAACTGTATTCATTAAAAGATGTCATCAAGTGCAATTGCGAATTACAATCAAACGAATGATTGTGATCCTGAAAGGTCATGGTGCTACTTAAAAAAGGGAATAAATGTTTTGAACAAAAGAAAAATGAAATAGAAAAGGAAGGTACACTTACTGAAGTTCAAGAAGCGAAGGAGAAAGCCATAAAAACACACAAGAAAGTCTGTAATGATAGAGCTATTCAAGTCATTTCAAATTCATCTTGGCGGTATAACACAATAAAAAGTGCCATAACAAACAATGACTGGCAAAATTATGAAAGTAACTTAAACTTTGTTCGTATGAATTTGGATCAGCCTTTAGTTAAAGAGACCAACGTGACGATTCTTTCATTGAAAGATGAAATTTTAAGAATCAATCCCAATCTAGCCGAGTTTGTGAATTTTTATTACACAACAAATCACGATGAAACGATTGAGAAACTAAAGAAAGAATCTGATTTTGTTAAAGAAAACACCGAACTTGAACGAAAAATTGGGTTTTTGATTAGAGCAAATACCTATTATGAAAGTCTTGATGAAGATCTTCAAAACATAAAAACCTTTATTGAAACACACCAAGAACAATACACTAAAAAGGGTATTAATTTTGAAGAAAACATTAAAACGTGTGAGTCGAATATTAACACTATATTGGCTATGAAAGTGTTCAGTTCAGTGTTTTATGGTGTGAGAGGAAAAATAGACACACTCAGACGTAATTTGGACAACAAAGAGAGTAACCTTGAAAACGATTTGAAGTCAATTGAAGACGATTTAAATCGCGTTGTTGTAAGTTCACATCCAAATTCTAGTTTGTTAATAATGAGAAGTGAAATAGAAGAAACAGAACCACAGTTTAAAAGATATTATCAAATGTATGAAGAAATTAAAAAAGAAATGCAAGAAAATAAAATGGTGGAAGTTTCTATGAAACAACAACCAAATGTGGGTACTCCACAAGTCAATTACAGTCAACCACAAAAAGTTGTGCAAATGCCCACGGTTATACCACAAAAGCCATTTGTTCAACAAAGTAAGCCAGTCATTCAAAATACTCAACACACAGTACAAGCAACTCAAACAAATGTTCAATCAATTAATAAACAAAGTGATTTATCAAAGCAAAGTGCTCAACAAAGAGTAATACAAACAACACAAACAACTGAAATAAAATCAGAAGATGTGAATAAAGTTACTCAGTTGAGAACTCAAATTAAAAAGTTGGTCGAACAGATCACCACAAATATTGATAAAATCAAATCACAAAACAAATGCTCAAATGTTACTCAACAAGAGTATCAAGACATTCCTCAGCTCCTTCTAAAAGTCTCACTAAAACTAGACGAAGTGAACAAAATAGAAAAAACAACTGCAGACCAAAACGTCAAAGTAATTTGTAGTTCAATTAAGACCGAAGATTTGAAAAGCATTCAAAGTGATTTAGACGAAGTCCGTAGTGGAAAATTGAACGACTAACTCGTCGAATTGTTAGAGCACAGACACCTCTTAGAACTCAATAAATGTCTGAACAACTTGTACTCTGCAGAGTCGGAAAAGACGATCAGCCCATACAGCAAAATCGCAGTGATAGTGAAACAGGCGGTTCTGTTTACAAAGACGTTTAACTTCCCCAATGAAAGCATTCAAAAAATTAATAAACTTTTTGAAACCATAGACGACGTCTGTGAAGACAACAATTTTGATTTTGACACTCTAAACGCACTCAATGGGGCTTTGTGTGGAATTGAATTGTTGACTGGAACGCATTATCTACCAAAGAGAATGGAATACCCAAATGCTATGATCAAAGGATATGTCGAGTCGAAAATAAACGACTTGCGTCTGAAGAATTACAGCGTTTTTGAATTGGCCAAAAATCTCAATTAATGTCCAAAAGATATTCAAAAAGATGTGTGCACCTCAATATACAAAAATCACTTCGCTAAGTATTTTACAAAAGAAAATGAAGCGAACAATGCTGAAATGACAAATTATATGAAAAAGTTCTTCAATTTTTGCTTTGGGGAGAATTTTGAAGCAAAACTTGAAGAAAATGACAAAAAAGAATTTTTAGAGGAGTTGAAAACTATTTTTAAAGAAGAAGAAAAAGAGGAATTTAAAAAGACAAAACAATTTATTTTAGACTTATTGGGGTCTAACCCAGATATCATGACATTTGCTGATATTGAGAAAGAGAAGGTAGGAAGTTACCAAAACATCACTAAATTCATGGAAGATACAACACGACTACTTTTCTATGTTGAAATGGTCTATTCTTTCTTTGATCTGAAATTTACAGATTTACCTGTTTTTATACAAGAGAAAATTAAACTGTACAACACACTTATAACACTCAAGGCGTGCGGACAAATCAAAGTAATCAAAACATTGAATGAACAGCAAAATGTCAATAAAGTGTATATTAACTATAACAACAATTTAATACTCAAACTCCAAGGAATCATTAATTCTTTAAAGCCGTTATTGGATAAGACACTCCAAAATAAATACGTTGAAACTGCTATTAAAAATTCATTAAATGAAGTTCTGGTGGATCAAAGCAATTTAGTGCTTTATAAGAGTGAACTTCAATTTGCCAAGAAATTGTTGGAGACTTTGAAATTAAAAGTCTCAGGAAGTCTGAATGATAAAATTCAATGCAATTATATAGCAACTTTTCTAAGGTCACAATACTTACATCTTCAAGAAGTCAGAGACTTTGTTACAAAAATAGACGCTTCAATTTGCTCAGAAAATTCAATGGGATTCTTACCAAACATCATGTCTATTGTGTCTGCCAGTGTCCCTCTGATTAATCGCACACCCTCCACCGACGAATCACTTTATTTTGCACAAGGCGGTACAGAGATTTTGACTCTTCTTTTAGGAAAATTATTGATATGAGTCCACGCACATCATACAACTACCGTGTCGCACTGATCAACTCAAATTCCTCACTCTTTAATTCTCTCATCTGCAAGAACCACAACGAGATGTACCAATATGCCAAATTGATGGAGGAAATTGATTATAATCAACAACTGTCATTCACACAAACATTTGAAAAAGATTCTGACCAATACATAGAAAGGTACGTCTCCACTATTTCAGACTATTTGGGGAAGAAATACTGCGAAAAATTGTATGACGCTAAAATGGGGTGTTGCATCGATTTACTCGCGCCTTTGTTCACTTTTGTTGGATACCAACTTGACCTACTAATGAATATCAAAGCTAAAATAGTCTTTGGTGCAGCACTTCCTGGGTGTAAATACATCTCAAAGTTGTATTCAGAAACTGATGTTAACAAGGAGTACTCTGTACTTGCTTTTGAAAACGTATACAAAAAGGAACACGAAAAGATGTTAAAAGAATACTCTCCAAAGAAGATTGGAACAACCGAATTTAAGATGATGAGTACGTCACAATCTGATAACAATACCAATAACGATGCAATGGCTTTTGTGGTGTATAATTTCTTTAAAATTCGCATCGAAAAGTCTTTCACTGAAAAGTGCGTCAAACCACTCAAAAATATAGTGACTGATTTATACAAAGAAATGTTCGGGAAATACACAGATAAGATCACTTTAACTGGAAATAATGAAGAATTTGATGTCACTAAAACACCAAGTGGGTTTGATATAAAAGCTTCCCTGCCCGGTATTAAATTGTCCAATACTTTTCATTGGAATTACGGCTTTGACAGCACATTCACGTCTTTAATTTTGACATATGATAATAATGGAAAGTGTTACAAATATGAAGATGGGTATTTCTATTGGGTATACAAAAACTACGTTGTCTTTAAAACACTCAACAAACAGAAATTCGAATTTGAGCAAACTAATATTAACCTCCCAAGTGACTTACTTGTGATGATTTCGAATATCTCTAATATGGACAAACAATATAAGGACGTTGATCAGAAAATCATTGAACAACAAAAGAGAGACAGAATCTCAAATGCACAGTTCCAGGATCATTTAAGACGAAAAGAAGAGGATGACAGAAGAGAAAGAAGTTTCAGAGCTATGATGAATGGCCATCTTTCATTAATTTAAACCATTTTTAAGTCATCATTTTTTGTTAATTTAATGGTAAAGAGTATTATACAATCAATAATTTTTAAACTATATAATATAGTAAATTATAAAATATTATATTATTTATAGTAAATTTATCATAAAATTAACTATACGTTATAAAAATATATAAAAAATTTTAGAATCAAATGATTTTTATATTAATCAACAATTTAATAATAAAAAATAAACTATAAAGTATAGTATACTATTATTCAGTTTTATATTTAAACAAATTGTGATGTGTTAAAAACTTCAATAGTAAAAGATGAGTGCAATTCACCATCCAAATTATCGTGGATGTGTTTTTGGAGATGATTGTGTTGGGCGTGAACATCTATTACAACGGTTGTGTTATGACATGTTTATGACTTGTTGTTGTGGTCCAATTGAAAATGATAAATCTCACAAACTAATAAAATATCAAGACACAACTTTTGATGTGTTTTTAATAAAATTGGAATATAGATACTCTCTGTATCAGGAGTCGCACATAAAACAATCAAATTTCTATATCATTGTTTATGCAATAAATGACTTTGAATCCTTTGAAAACGTGTGGACATACAAAAAATATATTTACGAAGTTTTGAAATTAAATAATCACGAAAAAATACGTTTAATTCTCTGTGCAACGAAATTTGAATTGGAACCAAATGTATCTTTTCGTGAAGAAATTAAAATGATGAAAAAGTGTGGAACTCCATTGTTTTACACCTCTACTAAAAAAGATATAGGTTTTCAAGAAACGAATAATGGCATCATTAAAGACTATTTTGAAATCCAAATAAAAAAAGAAAAAGAAAATAACAAACGTCAGTGTGTTGTGATGTGATTTACAGTTATCTAAAAACATCAACAAAAATCATTTTTTGTATTTAAATGAAGTTATTGATATTTTTAATTTTATTAATAAAACACATATTTGTTTGGGATTAAAATTTTATATAATTATTAATCATTTTAATGTTAAATCAATGAACAATATAATAACGCCTTAAATTAATATATATTGTGGTATTAAAAAGGTTGAATTTATAAGAAGAAATAACACTTTGGTTATAAAATGGCAATGTTGGTAATTAAAATGTATTATAAAATCCTCTTTATTTGCAATTAATAAACTATCTATAATTGTTTATTAAATTAATTAATTAATGATTATTAAACATATGTTAAAGTGATGTTCAATTATAAAAATCATTTGTATTACTTATGATATAACATTTACGTTACAGTATTATAATATACATGACACCAACTTTAATTATAATTATATAGTATATATATTAACAACAAATAAATTGGATTAATAATTGTTGTCTTGAAAATAACAAAAATTAAAAAATGTTACATTAATTGATAATTATTTTAAAAAAAACAATTATTGGTTATTTAAATAATCATTAAATACTCCAATAACGCAATAATTGTATATAATAATAGTTGAACTGTTATCAAATCAAAAATCATGTCGTTTACAGAACAACTTGATCAATATAAAGTTGATACAAACGATTATATAGAAAAAATGAAAGAATTTCATTCTCTTGCAAGTAAAAATGTGAACCAATTTAAAGAAAGAATGCCTCAATTCGATTGTGTGTTTAATGAAAATAACACCAATAGTATAAGTATTGAAGAACTCAAACAAAGAAATAAAAATTATGAAGATGTTATTAAAAAGAAAGTCACTGCTCTTGAAGGTTACTACGACAGACTTCAAGAGGCTATTTTACAAAGAAAAAATTTCATATCTACCGTTGAAAAGCAAAAAGAAAAAATAGAAATGGGCTTGTCAAAAATTGAAGAAACAAAACAGAAAATAATAAATGATCTCGAAAAATTGTCTAAAAACAATGATGATGTTATTTACGAAATTTTAAAAGCAAAAAAGAAGAGCAAAGATCTTAAACTTGAAGTATTAAAACGTAAAACCTTGAATGTCGAAAATGATTTTAAAGCAACAAAAACCGATTGGGAACAGAAGTTGGTCAATACCGCGTCACTAATTAACGAGAAGAATATAAAAGAGCAAAATGAACTTGCGACTGAACAAAGAATATCTTCCGTTACTACTCGTGTTCCTTATTTAAGTAAAAGAACTTATATTATTAAACAAATAGAAAAACATTCAAAAACAACTTTTTCACGAGTTGAAGATTTGTCAAAAGATTATTGTTTTATTTATAATTTAACTAATAACAATGGTTATAATCAACAAAGACGATCTGCTTTACTTTTGTTTGTAAATTCAAATTGGAAAGTATTTGGTGCTTTTATTTCAAATCAGCAATTAGAATCAAGCAAATCATTTTTATTTAAAATTGAAAACGAAAAAGTAATCTTCTTTGATATTAAAAAAGGATATGAAAAATATGACTTTAAAATGAATAACAATACTCTCTCATTTGGAAATGAATTTGAAGTACCAGACTTAAAAATTGTTTATGAGACTCAAGAAACTTATTTTTCTGGAAAGTATACATCATATTCAATAGAAGTTCTTCAAAATGTTTTTAAATACGATGGTGAAATGAACGCGTTATTTGGAATGGATAAATGCACTGGAACAACTTCATACCTTTTTTATTAAGTAAGTTGTATTTAAAAATTTGTTATTAATTAACTACAATTTAACATATATATAATAATTTATATATATAATAATTTGTTGCAAACTTCTTTATATTTATTGAGAAATGAAAAAAAGTAAAATGATATGCAAAACCAAAATATTGTTATTATAATAATAATTAACACCTCATAATTAATCGTTATAATGAAGTGAAATGTCCATTTTATTGTTTCCATATTAGCAATGAATAACTGTTTTACACAATACACTTTTTATTAAAAATTATTGTCATTTTTTTGTTAAAAACTATATAAAGAAAAAACACAAAGCTACAAAACAGGTCAGTTGAGTTGGAAGATAACGACACTCTTTGGAGTAAAATTGTCATTATCAGTCAACTCGTTTTGTTTGGCGGTGTTTGTTAATTGTTTGCAATAACTTCCCTTTTGATATATTTTGTCCACACGAATATCATGA